GGGGGGGCGTTGGGATCGAACCCAGAACCTGTCTTGTATTTGGGCAAAGTCACCCACCCCTTTGCCAACTGAGCTACATGCTAGAGGCTATTTGAAGGGTGTTATTTGGTTTTGTTATATGCCAAGGCCTTTGACATGACTTGATGATCAATTTTACATGAACGATAAGTAACCGAATTAACTCCCTTTAGCCACAAACTTGCTCCTTGAGTATCTCTTTTTATTGGTTCTACCAGAGTTTGAGTGTGTCTCTTAACTGTTGAGGATTATCATACCATGTTAAAGGAAGATAAACATACGAATAAAAACATCATATACACTTTTGCTCCACTTCTAGTTATTCCCCTGATCTTGAGCAAAATCTCCAAATGGCAAATTAGAGGCATCACAAAATTGTGTGTGTGGGTGACATTTGGCTATATGTTACCCTTCCATCTAATATGGATTCCACTTTGAAGAGTCTAAATAAACACATACACACGTAAATCTGTCTGTGTGAAAGCAATGTACCTTCTGGTGAACGGATATATTTTCATCGAATATTTGAGATGCCTCCTCCACAAGTATATTGTTACGTCTAGGTTTTTCAGTTTTTGATTTTTCCAGCCTAACTTGGCTGGATGGCGAGTCTAATTTTTCAGAACTCGATATGTCTGATGCTAATTTTCGCAATCTAAGTTGACTGGAAGGTGACTCTAATTTATGAGAACTCGGTATTTCTGATGATAAGTTATGCAAACTAGGTAAGCTCCTGCCATCAGACCCTGCACAATAAGTCAAAACCAATCTGAGATTAAGGAAAACGTTGCAATAGAAAGCCAAAGTCTCTTTACACTTGTGATTATGGTAAGGCATGGGCGCATGGCACAAATTGATTTAAATGAAATAGAGATTGAACTCCTATAAGTACGAACTTTGATGCCAAACTATGTCTTGTCATATTTAGACCATCAATGGACCAAATTTTACAAGATTTATCTCTTTGCATTTAAAATGAACTGCACTCAACGTAGGGGTTATATATACAGACGAAGAATCGTGTGAGAATAGGAGTTCAGTGTGAGAAGGGATTTGGACCCTTGATCACTTTTAATCCTGAAACAACCCATTTGCTTCAATATCATGATTGGGTCGACCAGGCCAGATCATGAGTGAAATATCATGATCGGGTCGACTAGGCCAGATCATGAGTGAATAGAAAATCGAAAATGTACATAGCAGTTCCAGCTGAAATACTTGGAATCCTTAGAAGGAATTGATCTAGTGTATCTCATTAGTGTTGATCTACAGGTTCTCTTCAATTAGAATTGATCCAAGGGTGGAGATCCCTTCTTACCTTTCTCACCATAACTTCCATTCTCATCGGAACCCAATCCTATATATACATACATACATACATACATAGGGCTGGGTTCACGTGAGACCAGTCTGTTTTCGTGAGACCCGTGAGACCACTTTTTTACACTTGAAACTTCACACAGTGTTTTTGCTATGAAGGTTCTGCTTCTTTTACCTTCACAATTTTTGCTGTGAAGTTTCAAATGTAACAAAGTGGTCTCACGGGTCTCACAAAAACAGGCTGGTCTCACGTGAACCCAACCCTATATATGTGTGTGTAGGGGAGGTTCAGGGGAAAACCACAAAAACTGAAAAGTTGAGGAACACCCTAATAACGGTTCATCTGTACGGTATGCATATGTGCATAAAAGTAATTTGTCCGGTATGCACATGTGCATAAAGTGCACACCTGCATAGAAACCGGGAAACATTATCAACTACTTCATACCATATAGATGAATGGTTATTGTGTTGTTCCTCAGTTTGCCATTTGCCATTTTTTTTGTGGTTTCCCTTGAACTTGAGTCTCTCTCTCTCTCTCGTTATATATATATATATATATATATATATATATATATATATATATATAGGGGTGG